TTTAAATCACCGAGCTTCAGCACTTTCATACACTGATTCCAAATCAAAACACCCCATGAAAACCCAACAGAAAGAAAGCATCTTCTGGCCTCATATTCACATTTAGGAAATACTCACCAAAAGTTTACTCCAAATTACATTCTGGACACTAATCTCTACAAGGTGAGGCAAACTGAAACAATAATGTTTCAGGGAAAGATGGGTCTCTATTAATGAAATAAGTTAATAACGTGCATGAGTATCTACAAAAAAAAGTCAATCAGAAAAATAAACACAAGGGCTACTTAACATGTATCTCACTTTCATGACTGTTTAAACTGTTCCAGACAGCTAAGCTATTTGAGTGGGGTTTTAAGAGAATAAGTTGCAATGACAACTTTTTGCATGCTAATCAACTTCAATACTTGTAGACTATTGCTATTCACAAAAAGAAAATAAACACGCTTAATTTTCAAAATAAAAATAGCAATTGATTTATTAGGAAGACATCCAGCCATTGCCCTAGGATAGCTCATAATAATTAAACTGTATTGTCACATAGATCACTTCACTGCACCCTCCAATAATAAATGCTGACTAATTAACAAACTCCTTTGACTGCATGCACATTAATGGTGACATTTTCAAAGGCAGCAGCAGTTTAGAATGGCTGCTCTTTGAGAGGTACAAAGAGTACACAGGGAAGGACCTCACTGCTTAGCACTCTCTCTTTACATACCCATTCAAGTACATACACCCTGGTGTACCCAGATGAGATTTTAAAACCCCAAATTTGCCCCTAGAGGAAGCATAGTATCCTTATCAAGTAACATCATCCACAAGTTTTACGGATTAATTTCTCCATTTTCTATAGGAAAGCACATTTTTTTACATAGTTCCATTGCTGTCTTTTGCCAGACTTTGAGGTTTTTAACCATTCTGCAAGTTGTTGCTGCACTGAATGTAAATATGTGTTTATTTTCTTAGGTTCCTGATTTTTTTAACTGGTAATTTCTCTAATTTTTACTCTGACACCTTGAGATTTACAACAGTCAGATGTTCTGATCAGCTCTGCATTTTTTCATATGCAGACCAATGCATAAGCCATGTCTCTTAAGTAATCTATCCTATGATTTGCTATTTTAAAGAGACTGCCATATTTCACAGTCCATTGGCATAGGATTTAGAAACCCTGAAACACATGCCATGCTCCCTGAATTTCCAAAGTACATCTAATTATACAAATGGCACAATCATAAATAATATATCACTTCTATGAGTGCTGGTGTGTACTGCATTTGGCAGCTTCTTGTTCTACCTCTTTGGGGCACTCAAACAAAAAGAGTCCAAGCCATTTCTCACCCTGGGAAAAATACATAAGAAAAGAAATAAAGAAGAAAAGAATGGTCATAGCAGCCAAATCTGTGCTTTTAACTGTTCAGCAAAAGAGTAATTTCAAGACAACAGGAGCCAAGGTTTAACAGGTTCAAAATGAAGTGAAAATTGTACTCTATTCACTGCAGGAAATGTAAGGAAAGAAATAAGCTAAGGCCATGAAAAGGAAGTGAAGCCAAGAAAGGAAATAATGAAGTAATTAAGAAAGTGTGCTACCGAACAGAATTAAAACCAAGCAAACCAAACTCCTGACACACATTGATCATAAAGGACTACAAAGTCCTGAGAAAATTATTCTCAGAAACACTGTCTGTGTTAGCAAAGCCAAACTGCCACAATGCTACCTCTCAACCTGCTTTGGAAGTAATTGGTATTCTTCAGGCTGGAAGATGGTGGTATTAGAGTAAATACAGGGAAAAGCTTGCCCCCAGAATACACTGGTAATTCTCACTCTGTCTTACATTGTGTTATGTGTGCTTTGGAAATTAATTGCCCATATTGTTCAGATACAGCCACCTGCTTCTTGTTCAGCTTTCATTACAGAAATCTAATTAAACAAAATAAAAAGTATTTATTAAAACCAAACAAAAGAAAGGGATGTTACACAGTTGTCTTGGAAGACACCACTCAATGTTGTAATGATCAAAAATAAATTAAAAGCCGCCATTAGGTCTTTTGGAAGCAAGTCCAACCAGTCCCTTCTTTCTAGCATTATACAGTGCCATCAAAACCTCTTGTTAAAACACAACAATAACTAGCTTGAGCTCAGAATTTATGTCTGGTTTGGTTACTTTTATTGTAAAATCTTTATCTCTTGTTTTTAGATGCATGTTGTGTTTAACTCATTTGTAATTCTTAAGCAACATAATGGTACACAAAACGCTTGAGGGGCTGACTTCCAACTGACATTCACAGAGGCAGTAAGGAAAGCAAATCAGGAATACACCCAAGGTATGTGCTTCAGGGAACGCTTATTCAACCAAATTTTTTAAGGTATTACATAAACGGAACAAACTACATTTGTATGAAAATAGAGATTTTTCTGGACACTACTAGGAAAATACCGTAGAGTTAAAGAAGGCCGAAGTATTACCATGGTTGGAACACAAATTAGCTCTTTTCTTCTTTTTTTTTTCTTGTTTTAAGCTCTTTGTTGTTATTTTTATCTACAAATACCACATAGACATTTATAAAAATTAGTGACGAAACAAAAATCAAACAAGGTAAAGTAACAGTTACGCTTACTAAGCAATTAGACAGAAAAAAAAGAGTAAGTTTTTGTATGTACTTACATATTCAAAATGCTGCAAAATAAATTCCTTACAGAATAAAAAACATTAATAAAAAACACAGAGTGAAAGACCCTCTCTTTCACACTGCATTCATTTGCCAAGTAGCATAAGACACCTTTAGGTAAAAGTAGCACACTTTTTTCTGAGCAGTGAATGCTGCTTTGAGGACAGACTCCATTCCTGTACCACAGAGTCTCTGTAGCTGGTTTGTAACTGAAGCAAAATCTTGGAAAATATGTGGTAAAAAGGAATGCATGGCCATACTGGTAGTGAACTACTTTAACATCATGTTATGTTTAAACATGTAAGTTACTTAAATATCCATATGCTTGTGGAAGTAGGACTACTTGTGCATAGGTTTAGTTAAATCAGCAATGAACTAACAAATAGTGGCACAGGAACTCATTGTTATGAAAAGATTTATTCAGAAACTAAATAAAAGCATCATCATATAAACAGCACTAACTTAAGAGTGGTGACAAACTGCATAACACACTCTGATTAAGTGTACACTCTCAGACTGTTAGATTCCCACAGCTACATGAGCCATCCAATTTTCTTGACACCTATTTTTAATAGGAAATTAGTTGCAGCTACTCGTAGATTTCACTTTTTGCATTCAGTACATCTGAATACTTATATGACAAACACCTGTATCTAGTCAGGAAACAAAGCTACTATACAGTGTATGCTGAAAAAGTCAATTTATTGTAATTCCCATTATCAACACTGAGGAGAAAAAACACAGCAAATTCATTCAATTACTTTAAAACAAGTAACTCCAAATTAAAAAATGTGCAAGACGAAATTACAATTATCATAGCTATCTTATGAGCAGAAAGGACAATTCAGTTATATAAGTAATTCCTCACTCTTTTCTGATAAATATTCATAATAATTCACATCTGTTTTGTCATCCCAGACATGATCAGAAGACTTTGTAAGTTGTTTCCCTGCCATCACTAATTTTATGTTTTACAGAATAGGTTTTCCAGATGTGGTATGAAAAGGACACAGATTATAAAATAACCTATCAGAAAATCCTTTATACCAGTGTATTAAAAAAACCCAACAACATTATTTTAAAATAAGCTTCAGACTGTACAGGGGAAGTTGCTCTTATTTTTGCTCTCTTGGTAAAGACAACAGCTTTTCAACTTTTATATATCACACAGTCAACAACTATGTATTATCCGGTTTGTTGAGCAATGTCACAACACTGTAATGTTCAGGTTACACATTTGCTAAAATATTTTTCTGAAAAATGTGTCAACTGCAATTCATAAACATCCCTACTTGCTTAGTGAAAGTAAGCTCAATAGCCTTTGTGACACAAAATTCTAACACATCAGAAAAATTTATTTACTGAAGGAATCATCTATAGATACCAATCAATTCTGTAGGGCCAAAAGGCTAATAAGCTTTTCAGTCTGATGTAAGTATACTCCCTAAATGAGTATCATCTAAACATAAAACTCCAATTCTTCCAATGACTGCTTTATATCTAAAAATATCACTGCTGAATGCTGCAATTACATTTCTCAGCTGGAGACATCTTTCTCCATTATTTTCTTGAATGTGTAAGATCCAGGCTCAACAGTGCGCTAATCAACTGCACTAAACTGCAAATGTGATCTAATTAACTGGAAACCACTCAGATTTGATTGGTAGGAGTTTTTTGGTTTGCTTTTAAATCACCTTGTCTGACCTCCATAGAAACTAGTAATTAAAAAGGACAAGATATTCAGAGAGGAAAAAAAACAACCCTGTAATTATAAAATATGCTTAGGTCCTGACGACGTGTGCTTACTCTGAAAATAGCACGTTTGCCCAGTAACTTCTAGTCATAAAACTGCTCAAAGGTAAGAATCACCTACAATATGTATTTTGGTCACACAGCCCTAACCATCTGAACTGTGCCTTACAGTCAGTTACTAATGAACTGGAGAAGCAGCTCCTTGCCCTCAATTTAGTTTGGTGAAGAAAACAATTCTGAGACTCCCAAAAAGCTTGGAAAGGTCATCGCACATTATATGTGGCCTTACTCGAATTGAGTGTGTTCTTTGCCATTAGGGCAGGTTAGGAAAGATGAATGCATCAGAAAATAATTTCCCTTCTTGGACTAGCAACATCTGCTAGGCCAAGTCTCCTTTTCTGCCTCCTCTAAAATTCTTAACATTTAACAGATCTTGTAGGAAAGGAAGATGAACAGAGCAAGTCATCTCATGACTAATCTTGTCACTAACTGCTTTTTTTCCGTCTCCTATGAAAAGTATTCATAACAATATATAAGCTACTAAACTGAGCATATGCCGTATCTTTTTTTTTACTCACCTACGCAGTTATCACAAAGGCTGCAATGTGAGGCACGAGGTGGGCGGAAAATCTTGCAAGTAAAACAATATTTTAGTTTCACTGTCTGTCCATTGATGATCACTTCTTTTGTTCTGGGAGGGGGGCGATATCCTCCTGAACTGGAGCCATTTGCTATATCTAAACATGAAAATACAAGACATGGCATGTTGCACATGAGCTATGATGTATGCACAAAACTGTCCTTGACGGCAATCTACAGCAAATTTCAAATTCTTATTTACATATTTAAAATAAACAATTTTTCCCCTGCTAATTCTCAATTAATAGGTAGCAAAGAGATACTTCATTGCAAATACCATCCAAAGCCCATCAATCTGAATGGAAGAAACTATGATGCTGACGACGACCTTAATCTGAAAATTCTCACCGTTTCATACTCCCTAATAGGTCTTAGAAAACATATTAAAGACAACTATAACTACTGGTGTAGGATAGCAAAATTTGGAAGTTACCCTTAGAATCTTCCTAATTTTTTTCAGAATTACTGTAATAACAAAAAAATCTCCCAAGAAGTGTTGCAGAAATTCTACAACCTAATAGAGAATCTACACATTTACTTAAGCAACAGCAACTCTGTCATCTGAGCCTGGTGAATGTTGAGATCTCTTGCATGCTGTGATACAACAGAGCACACTCACAGGTATTTTACAGCTTTTACTGTTGAGAAGTTTGAACAATCAACTCCCAATGTTACTTCCACATACCTTGAAGTTCTTTGTTCCACAAAACCAGTTTTCAACTACCTTGTTTGATGTAAGTGGTAGAGTTTTGGGTTTTTTTTCTAAGCTTCCTTCCTTTTGTTTTATTTTAGGATATCACCAATAATTTTTCCAGCATCTAAAGGACTGATTAGGATAAATCATTAATGCTCAGTTTTGCCCAACCTGAGCTTTACTCTGAAAGTTCAACATGTAAAAATGGTGCGTTTTTCTAGGTTTATCTGTTCTTGTGTGATCACAATCAAAACAAACAACAGAAGTGAAAAAAACCATGCTACACCCATTTCTGACCATATTTTGGTCAAGATAAGACTTAAACTGTGAACATAAATATAGGTCATTAGCCCTACCTAATTTTTTAATCAAATAAAGCATTTAGCATATGCTGGCATGGCATATTTATATATAAATCAAAGATTTTAATTTGATTCTCAAATTTAGGTGCATAATTATAAAAACTACTACTAAAGCCTGAATTTCATCTAGATGCAGTTTTGTATGCTAGAAATACTGATACGTTGAATTTCCTAATATAACAGTAATAGTTCAGATATTTTCTTTTCAAAATCTTATTACTCCTGGATATGTGCATAATCATTGAATGAAAATTACCTAAACCAGTCAAGGGGAATCGTTTAGAAGAAAAATGCTCTTTTTCCTAGATAAACATCTACTTTATAAAAGGCACATTGACTAAACCCAGTATTTCCCTACCCTTTCAAGAAATTCATAAAGTGCATCACAATAATTTAAATGGGCTCTGGCAGAATCTCAAAGGCAACTTCTGTTTTCTCTGGTGGAGAAACAACACTACTGTCCAGCCCATTTTATTTACAACACCAGTCTTCTAAGAGGATTTCCTCCCAAACATTTGCTGGGAATTTCACAGAGACAGCAAATCCTAGTTCTCCGAGGCAAATTAATCTTGAAATCCAAGGGTGAAAGGTGATGCAAACAAAATCAATGTAAACAGTCTTGCTGACTTTCCAAGGACTAAGAATTTTTCTCAAAATCCTAAATTGCATAATCAAACCTGAATGTTCCAGTCTTTGTGTTTACTAACATCTTTTTCCTGGAAGCAAGCTGCAGAGCAAGGTCAAATGTGCTTGGATTTAATACGATTTATCTAACCTAAATGTGCTAAACATGTCCTGGTTTCACTGTGAATTTTCAGATTGTAATTTGCCTTCAATGCAACTGCTCATAATCGAGGTCTAACACAGTTAAATCTTCAATATATGATGTTTCTTTGAGGAACAGAAAGATTAAACTTTATGGAATCATCTTCCCCAAATAAACTGTATTTGACCACTACTACATTTTACTCATCCAACCTATTACTGATGTAGTAATGCAGGTTTTATCACTAAAAGGCTAAAATTTATCCACTAATAGGATTGCCATCCATCCTCTCTGTTCTGACACATTTTGTAACTTCTCAAGCAGGGTTAATTGCTCATGCACTAGATGGGGCTCTAGCATTTTCACTACCAGAATTACAAAAACCCCATATGTGCAATCCATGTCCTTGCAGGACCAAGAGACCTGAACTGCTCCAAGAAGGATACTCCAAGTATTTAATGGAGATACAGCTTAGCAACCTTCTAATGGGACAGCACACTCCACCTAGATGTCTCAATTTATTATTCTACAAACAAACAAGCAGTGCTCACGAAAGACAGAAGCTGCAAGTTTGTATACCTACCACTAGGATTCCCCTGCTCAATAAAGATTGGATTTTTTGATCAATGTCCCTATAAACCTAAGACAAACAGCCTCTAGAAGGCAATCCTGCATTGTCTCTATACAAGCTTCAATACCATATCATGCAACGTTTGTTGACAACTTTAAAAGGACACAATTTCAATCTTCAAACAGCACTATTTGAGAAGTCAGTAAAGTGAAACAATTTTAATGTTTCCTGAGGACTAAATGAAAAGGTAATGAAAAGAATCTTTTTGTATAACCAACAACATCTGAAAAACAATAGAAAAAAATCCCAACCAAAACAAAACAAAGTCTGCCAACAATGTAAATCTCTTAAGAAATGTCTTCCTCTGTGTTTAACTACTTAAATTCAAGCTACCTACAGTAGGCATAAGACAAAAGAGTAATTTGTTTCTTGGAGGGAAGAGAACTTTAATAAAATGCTCTTGTTTCCAGACAGTAATCTCAGGGACAAAGAATACTGGGAACCTGGTTTAGACTGAAACCAGCAGCTGCTAACTGCATTCTTCACATAGTTCTTCATCTGATAGCCATCAAGAGAGATCAACCACATATTATTCCTGACTTTAAGGACTTGCTGCCTTAGATTTTTCTGAAATAATGTATTATTTTCTTAAAAGTAGAGTTGCAAGATCTTCTTGAAGCCTAAAACTTCATGCGAAAGGTATATTTATTCCTAGAAAGAAATGTAATCTTTAGTGATTTGCTGAGGGAAAGAAGCTTTCTAGGACTTATCTGACACACAAAGTAATTTCACTATATTTATTTTAAGAATGTTGTTTAAGGTGTGCAGTATCCGGTACATCTATAAACCTAGGAAGCTGGTATTCTACCTTTGCAAAGAAAGCAAAACGTAATGGTATGTATTTGTTCAGGCCATTGCCAGTTCTATGAAATGCCTGTGCTGTGGCATGGATTTAATTTTGTAAGGCTTTAATGAAATCAAATTGTGCATTTCAAAACAAATGAAAGACAGGCAAGGAACTGTGAAGGAGTCTCAAATGTGGTCTTGAGCATCAGCTGAAATTAGACAGCCAAGACATAAACAATTTGCAGAGATGCTGTTTCTCATACATTGAGTTCAGGGCTTGGAAAAGATAAAAGCAAGCAAGCAGAAGCTGTCCTGTGAACTGGCCTGAGTTGTACAGATTCAGTGAGGAAGATACATATAACTTAAGATGATTAGCCTGAAGAAAAATCCAAAGTATTTTAAGGCTGGAAGGATAAATTACCATGACCACCTTTAATTTATCTGGATCATCTATCCAATGCAAACAAGATCGATATTGCAGAATAATTGTTGAACTTGCATACATCAACTGGACAAATGCTTTCCTACCTACAAAACCCATTCTCCTGGATTGGGTTATCCTTCTAAGCCTTCATATTCAGAAGTTTACAATTTTTTCACTTGAAGTGACTTAACACTGACCTAACTACAAGAGACACATACTGTAACTCAAAGAGGCTACAAAATAAGGCTGCTCTTAATATCTGTGTTTCCACTGGAAAAAATCCTCTCTCAATATAATATTTTGTGTGATTACAGAAGCCATGCTTACATGCACCATGACAATAAAGCAATTACAGCTAGGGTACCCCTGGAGATAATTATTTTTCAATTTTATTGAAAGTTATAATTGAAGTAAAAATACTACATCAGTAAGTTTAATGTTGCATTTAAATAAAGAAAAAATCCTGCTACATTTCTGTGAAATTATAACACTTCTATAGTAAATAAAGTTACCCTCAGTGATTTTTACATTATATAAGCCTCATACATCTAGTTGCTTTTGTTCTATTATGTTATATGAAAACTCCAGCAAACTAGAGTATTTTGACTTTTGCTTCTCCTCTCTCTTAAGCCAAATGCACATATGTATTAAATATTCTTACAGGTCCTGTTTTCTAGACTTCTGTTTAGCTGCCTTCCTCTTGAGTTTCCACATAGTGAACTGAGCCCTCATCACCACTGGGTATGCCAGAATGTCACTTCTTCTGGCTCATCTAACCACCCTTCTCCTAACATGTCCCAAAAAAGATTTCCCCTTTATATCAGAGTGCTAACTCAATCTGTTTGGAAATAATACTCAAGTCTCCTCTTCCTACACCATTCACTGCTTAGACCCCTTTCCATTAGTATTTGATTTCCACCTGTATTCATACATTTTGTGGTTTTTCCCTAATGTTGCTCAAACGATTTAAAATATATATTAAAAAAAAAAAATCAAACCCAGTGATTGCAAATTTCTCCATCTCAGCACCAACTTCAGAGTTAAGCATATTCCTCACGAGCCCACAATCAGTCTCTGAAAGGTCCTATTTGAGCACTTAGCATTTGCTACTAGAGTGTCTTTTTGAAAAGACACTTATTGACTTACTGACTTTGTGGCAATTTCATCTAGAGCTTATTTCCAAAATTTATATGGAAATAATCCTATGCAGGACACCATCAACACCTTAATTGGAGTGAAAAATTAAGCACACCTTCTGCTTTCCCACCAAGAGTTACTCTTTCAATGAAGGACATCAGATTGGTTACACTTGATTTTTCTCTTGAAATTATTTGCTTGTTTTGAGACCCAACCATTTGACAGTCCCAGTTCTGATAATTTGATCATGTAGCAGTGTACTCCATGTCTTTCCAGACAGAGAACAGTTTCTAGTGACAGAATTGACAGATTTATATTAAAGTGGAACACCAGATAAAACAAAAAAGATACAGTATAGTAGATTAACACTTTTAAACTATAAGTACTTTCTTTCTTCTGACTTGCTCTATCAGCTATCAAGAAGCAAATAAGCTATCTTCTGCCATCAAAGCAGTGTTGAATCCCTCAGATTGTCCTCCTTATTTCTCATTTCCCAATTACACAGCAGGCCTTCAGCTTTTCTTTCTTCCTCTGACCTCTAACAGGACCTGTACTGTTGTCTTCTACTGTTCCTTGCTGATTGTAACTGACTTTATTCTCCTTTTGCCTTTCCCAATATGCTTGTGCCATCTTTTTATACTGACATTTAGAAACTATCTCCACTTCTGACACTAGTATCTTTTTGACTACAATCAAATACAGTCAGAAGGGCCTCTTATTACACTTCCCAACCTTCCTCTGTTAGAGGACAGCTGATGATCTGCATTAAACGTAATATTTTTGAGTAACAGAAGTTCCTTTTGTTTTTTTGACAATTTCCCTTTTTTTCAGTTCTTTTCACTTTTTGTTTTTCTGTGAACACAGAAAATTCTCAAGAGTAACTGCTTTCCATTCCTGCACGCAGTGGGTGGAAATAGAAGCATCATAGCTCTGTTAGTCTCCCATCTTCACCTGAAGAAGGCTGACAGCCTAGGTGGAAACATTTTTCACGCTCAATATGACCACCCTGCTTCCAGAAAGTCACCTGAAAGGACGAAGTACTATCAGCTTCTTTAGAAGGTCTTATTTTGAAAACCATTCTTCCTAATCAGCTCATCCTATTCTATGCTTTCTAATGTAAAAAAATGAAGTTTTATACGTTTCAAGAGAACTTCAAAATAACAATCTTAAATCAAGTCTTGAGACACAACTGTTTCTCAGTGCATCTGTAATTATTTCTGGTAGGCTGCTTCCCAAAGAGACCAGTAGGGCAGTGTAAGACTCAAGTATCTAAGAATGATTTGAATAAAGTTAAAGCCACAGATAGGACAGGTTACATAAATACATTTTAGAAAAGTAACTCTTTGGTAAAGGCATTATTTTTAGATGAGTTATCTGAAGAATTTCCTTGTCTAAAATAAATTACTCTTAACCTTGCACCCCATCTTTAGAAGGCACCTCAAGTTGAAAGGCACAGCAAGTTATAAGGCAATCCAGCCTGAATGATAGCTTTGGAAAATCTAGTCTTCTTTTCAACTGCAGGAGTCATTCAGCTTTTCCTGCTGCACAGGTAACACTCCACTAGGATATATCTTTTAGCGGCACATTACAAAAATATACTGTAACAGTACAAAAATGTTTCTTTCTGTTTCCATTGTTGAATCCAGAATCACAATTCTAGGGCAGAATGATTTCTTATAGCTACCTAGCTTGTTCCTCTATTAGACTTGCCATAAGCCCTCATGTTTGGGAACTCCACATTTGCTGGCACTGTAATTCCTTGCTTCAATACTCCACTGGCCCTTCTTGAAAGAGTACTGCCTTTGCTACTGCTGAAGAAAAGACAATGGTTTTGATCAGCTCAGCAGCCTCAACCTGTGAACAAGTATGCAACACCATTTAAAAATAATTATAATTTGTAAACACAAGTTCTGAAACTGTTGCACGCTGGAACATTTTGAGTGTCCCCTGTAGTATTCAATTTGTATTTTTAGTTTTGTATTTTGCCAAAACTCTGACAGATGACAACATAAAATAATTGTCGTGAGACGCTTATTTGAAATAGTTTATTTCCTGACATAGATCAATGTTTCTGTGAACATAAGAATAATATATAATAATATATAAAATAAGAAATTTCTTGAACAGGAACTTGTGCCTGCTTTTTGGACTAAAGGTGGTACCTTATTCTAGGTAAAGAATTCCTTGAAGAAGATCAATAAAAGTAAACCATACCACTGGTAAGGAAAAGGTGCTAAATGAATGTGTCATTATTTTTTCCATATTTCTATGCATCTCTGAAATTCAGATGAATAGCAAACATTTTAATACTTCTATCATAAAAAGCCTAAGACTGCACTATAGTATCAAACATCAAGGACGCTGCAAGTATTTCTCCTGAGCTTGCATAGACCTGTTACTTGTCTTTACAACTACATGAGTGAGCATTTCTCTGAAATTGCTTCAGAAAAATGGGATTTCCACTGACTATTATATCAAAGCAGATAAAATAGTGTTTAGGAAGGTTGAGTAGCTTACGAAGCACACAAACACGCTATTTATGAAGCAGTTCTGCAAACTCATCCTGTGTTTTCTTATCCAGGTGGAACATTTTAGCTATTTAGCATATTTGTACCTGTAGAAGACCCACTTACAGAATTTAGTTAAGAGTGCTCTTGCTAAGTGAGAATGGTTAAAATCTAGCTCTCTACTTTAATTATGCTGGCTTTACTAAAAAAAGTAACATTTTTACTGTACATTAACACAGAGACTTATCTGACTCTTTTGCAATATAAATAACATAATTAAATTCAGTTAAACTCTGAGGATGCACTGTTTTAAAAAGGCACAATTGTATCTTTTGCAATATCAGCTTTCTTGCCAAAAACACTTAAAAAAGTATTCTCTTATGTACCACAGACAGATTTCTACTAGACTTGAGGAGAAGTATTTACAGTAATAACTATCACGCTAAAAGGCCAGGATTTTGTTTACTTTCTTGGTGAAGAACTGATCAATCATCTTTCCACAGGAATCACTGCAACATCATCAGACATTACAGTTCCAGAACAATCACTGTGGCCAGGCAGGAGTAACTCCTCCCATGAGCAGAGCAGCGCACACTGCCTTCACACAGCACATGCACCCTGGGGAGCAAAGCGAAGAGACAACAGACCTTCAGTGTTACCTATTTGTCTCTCTAGATCTGCTGCCTCATCTGGTGTTGCGCGGGGGAGGACACCAGGATCACTGAAACTAGTACGCAGCAGGGTCCCCATCACGAAAAAGAAAAGAATCCCACCAATTGCAGGTATAGCAGGCGTAATCTTCTCTGACAAATACGGGCAACTGGAAAAAGAAAAAGATTCAATAATCAACAACACATAAGGCAACTTGTTTCTCAAAAAATATTTACCTCTATAAATGCATATGAAGAATCCGATTTCTTCTCTTGATACATTACTTGCCTTGGAATGTTTATTGAAGCTGAAAATTTCTGTTTATGTGTTCATGACACTTCCGGAATTTTTCAGAGTGTGTTCAATATAATAAAGGCACAAGTAGCATAATAATGACCTCATTAATATGCAATACTCATTTACGTAAATAGATAAAATATTTTTCTCACAGGATAGTAAGCTTATATATTTCTTCACCTGCTGCCCAATTATGCGAAAGTAAATTGAGCAGAGAGAGGAAAGGGGAAATAACCTAAAGAAGCCCATAACATGAAGAAATAAGCCACACTGAAATACGTAATTGAGTCTATAAAACAGATTTATCTTCCACCAGAAAGATGGTGCTCAAGAACATGCAACGCATCCCTTTAACAGTCTTGGCATATATCAATATTGTAACACCTCTACTGATTTTCTTTCTTAAACCATTTCTTGTAACTTAGTAAACTTGTTTACTCATTTACAAGGTAAGAAGAATGCAAATGACATTTCAACACACCTGGGAGCAAACAATCTAGGGGAATGTCTATGGCAACATCAACAGCCCTTCACCAAGGCAAAAATGGCTCTATGTTTACCGGATTTCCAATATACACGCAAGGTTTAAGACGACATTACAGTTTTAGCAAAATTTCCTCTGTGCTTCACATATGATTAAATCAAAATGGACAGAAACACTGGAATCCAACCAATACACAAATATAAGTATCTCTTTACAGCTCTGCAAAAAGTAGGGATATGAACACTTAGATATTACAGAAGCACTGCAGCACTATCTTAGAAAACACACAGGCTGAAGATTCTCTTCATAACTCTTAAGTAGGTATGGGTAAAATACCAAGATGGCTTCATGTACTTCTGCTATCTGTGTAAGAAGTCATAAAATAAACCTAAAAACAGAAGTGAAAAATCAACAAGTTCTAGGTCTTAGGGCTTCATTTAAAGTTTCCAGGTATCAATCAAGTTTAATTAACATTGTCTTCCCTATTTCTGCTGACTGCCTTAAATGATGATTCAGACGTGCAAGCTTTTGCACTGCAAGTCAGTTAACCTCAGCAGAATGTTAACTCTGAACTAGCAATGACAATGTCAGCTCCACTGTCCATCACTTCTGCCGACAGCATGGCAAGAGAATGGAAACACTTTTCATACCAGCTGCCATGTACAAAGCATTTATCTCCCTGCATAATCCTGTTAAAAATACTTGGCTGTTTCACTAGACTTAGAGGGCTTCATGGATGCAGTGAGTCCATATGCACTACACGGTGCATAGCATAACAAGTGGAAATAATCTCTCCCTACATGAATGCAATACTACAGGTGCAAAAAGTTAGGAAAGATTAAAAAGACAACTGGGTATTAAAAAAAGGCAAGGACCAAGAGATACTGTGGTTTCACATAACAAATAGACTGTTGAAATACTAGGACACATCCTTCAAATGTTTGCTTTTAGGAAAATCTTCAAAGACCCAGATTTATGAAATCAGTGCTCGCTAAAGGAAGCAGCAGCAAGATGTAAGCCTTAGTTGCTATAAGCCTTGCTCCTCTCATGTCAGGAGAAGCCAGTCAGAACGAACAGCCAAAGAGAAGCTTTCATACCACATGAATGTCCTACTGCTCAATTTATTTCTTGCCACAAAGGATTACTGAAATCAAAACTGCTGTAATATGCTCAGAGAAGAGTACAAATAGGCTGCGAGAACGTATTTTAAAAAAGATTAGAGGGAACGTGTGCATTAATGAACACTAAATATAGCACAGTTCTCTCACTCTTCTATTGCATTATTCATTACACAAACCCAAGAAATTGCAACTGTGCTGAAGTCTGTTGACCAAATAAGAGCTGTATGTGTGTGAAAGGTAACATGAGATAATCTCAGGGCAGCAGAGTAGGCCCAGTACAATTTCGACACTTGCCAATACACAACCAGGAATGGCATCACATACACAAATTCTCACTGATACTCACAGGATGGGAACTAAGGGCCATCATGACTCTAACATGTTTCCTTTTAACAATAATTTCATACGAAATTGGTAGAAAGAACAAACTGATGTGCTGAAATATAGCAGAAGTAAGAAAGAAATCCCAACATTGCTGAAAAGTGATGTTTTCAGTATAGTAAAAAAGCATGAAAAAAAAAATCTGTCTCGGCCTTGCTGAACCAAGTCCACCTGCAGTGAAAAAAATCCCCACTCTCAAAGTCCAGTACAATCTTCACAACAAGCAAGCGTGAGGTTATCTGCTTTGCCTAAAGTTGCTTTCAAGGTTTAACAACATGTATTTTACCAACATTGACTTGGAATTAATTCAGCAATAATGTAGAAAAGACAGAAGATGGCATCTTTGGGAATAATAACCAGGTAATATTCCACCAATTAAAAAATTATTTCAAGCTGAGAAACCAGTCCTTGCAGCTCCTTATGGAGATTCAGACATTAAGTCTGGGCAGAAACATTTAATACAGTCTGATTTATTTACAGACCATATAATATTACATGGGCTCACAGAGAGCTCAATGACATCTCTCCTTTAAAAACATCCAATTAATTTTTGAAGTACCTGTGAGCTAAATTAAAAAAAAAAATCGAACCAAACAAAACCCAGCAGATACCATTAAACCTCTTTTTCCTCACATTTGTTTAAAAAAAGGGGAAAAATCTTACTTCTCCTGAGTTATTAAAAAATCTATTAAATGTGACTTTAAATTTAAAAAATGGCTCTTAGCTCAAAATTGTGAATAAATCCGTAGAAATACACTTGCATATTTATATATTTTATATTTGCATTCTTATACAACAAATGTCTTTGTACTGCTACATTAAGTCAATATTATTTTAAACACTTCTAGTGTTACTACTTTTAGAATTGTCAAATACTGAAAACAGAAAAAGATTATCCCTCATGTTTGCTCAGACTCCTTAATTCATTTAATTGAGGATGCATCCCTTCAGGCAGCAGCTTTCCTCAAATATTACAAGAAGTATCTTTTTTGGAGGGTATTTTCAGAGAATTTTTAAAGCAAACATTAGTGGGTATTTCCTGACAGCAAATTTCAGAATTTTCCCTGCAGAGGAACTCCCTGTGCAGAGACCTGCCCACTGCCAGTAACACTTTGATAAATATCTCCAGGGTAAGTATCTGTCCTACTGCAGAGCACGCAGTGAAAAACTTTTTGCAATTGGCACTTGGTAACCACTAGATGTGAACTGACGTCCTCAGTTTACATCTTAGGGTAAAACAGTTGGTTTTAATCAGCATCTGTAAGGACAGCAAGTACTGACTAAATCTATCCCAGAAAACACATTTTTAGAAAACATTACGAGATCACAGGCCCCATTAGAAATTGTTACTGTGAAAATAGTTTTTTCAGACAAAAACTGCAACATAACATTAAATTTTGAATTAATTGACAACTTTGATGCTTTTAGCCCTGTTTTTTGCTTGGCTTGTCAGCTGCTTTTTTGAAGCATCATGTGAAAGTTTGCATGAGTGTAGGAGGGAAATAAAATCTGGTGGAAGACTAGTCTGTCACAGTTCGATAAAAATAAAAACACCCTGGCACAGAAAAGATAATTATCAAGCATCACCCCTGTGAACAAAGGATGCAGGAGAAGTACAAAAGAAATTCTTACCACCCAGCAGCCCTCTTAACTGTGCAACCATGCTCCCCGTGGCTCTCGAGATCAGCAGAAAAATATAGATAGAAAGTGTGCTGAGGAGCACGCAGTCAGAATCCTACAACTTTCAAGCACTGCCATTAGAAAACGGGAGAAAAGAAAAGAAGTCTCCTAAAGGCCTTTCCTGGAAAGATAAAGGCTTTCCTGAAAGGTTCACTGACAGTTATTCACTGATGGGGAGACTCAGTAAATGACAAATCTATCCAGTACAGGTATCTGGAGAGAGGTTGTGCTTATTATAAAAAAAAAAAAAAAAAAAAAAAGGTTTTATACATTGAAGATTTAAATTAATATTCACTCAGTTGACAGGCAGAAAACAATAACAATACAAATTTAATGCAAAGATGAAATAGCCATCACACTTAATTACACGAATTAAAAAAAACCCCTACCAGCTACCTAACCAGACTGTTAAGAGGATACTCTGTCAAGCTGTTCATCAATACAAAACTCTTTGCAGCAGATATAAAATATATGTACTCCAGGAAAAATACAATATTAATATAGTTGGGTGAAGTAACATAAAGAAATAAAATTATTGTTCCTTTTCCTACATCATCAACTTCATTTCTGTTTCTGCACGTACTGCCTGTTTAATATACCAGTGGCTATTGGCATGCAGGTGACGTCCAGCAGAAAAGAGAAGGCTGGCACTCTGCACCCTGGGCTCAGTTCTACATGCTACAAGTTAACATCTCAATGAGACTGGGCTGCATTCTTTAAATTAGCTGCCCAAGGGGTTTGTTGTTTCTCCTTCCACTCTCATTTATGGCTCCTCTCAGCTCACCGTTCCTTTAAACTCCACTGCATCGTTGCTCCAAGCCACTGTCCCAAACTTCTGCCCTTATGCCAACACAAATCTCCATCAGGTTCTTTTGTGAGTGAAGTTAGTGTACTAAAACGTATGAAAGTGACACCATTTTGTTGACTTCTCTTTCTGTCTCTCTAACAAGCCAAACATGCACTTGAAAAGGATATTGGCACAAAGCAAGGGAGAAAGAAGCACACATGAAATTACGGGAAAATGTAAATTTGGACAGTGGGAGGAGACCTCAATTTCAGCAGCTGTCAGTAAGGTTTTCATTCAAACCACAGCCTCTTGTGAAACCATGTTCTAACCTTGACCTCTTCCAATTTAGAGATGGTAACAGAATACCCATATATAGACAGATTAAAGGCAAAGCAAGACTCTGGGCTAGAAGAACAAAA